TCCTTGGACCGGGCCTTCTCCACCTCCCAATCCCCAAAACCATTCGTAGACAGGACCGAGGTTGCGATTCAAACCCACCTCACCACTGCAACACCGCAATCGGCTCTATAAGGTGGCACGTTTCTCTTGGAGCTCCTAGAGTAGACAGGACCAAGGATGCGGTTCAAACCCACCTCACCACTGCAACACCGCAATCGGCTCCATAAGGTGGCACGTTTCTCTTGGAGCTCCTAGAGTAGACAGGACCAAGGATGCGATTCAAACCCACCTCACCACTGCAACACCGCAATCGGCTCCATAAGGTGGCACGTTTCTCTTGGAGCTCCTAGAACGATTCCACATGTGCTGCATCCTTTTTCTTATCATCCAAAGGCTGTACCGGGCCATCATATTGACCTGATCGAAAACAAGTCTGCATTGTAGACAGCAAGACCTGAAGGGGCGAAATCACAAACGCACCAGTGCGCGTTCCGGATCAAGTTTTTCCGGAAGCATTTCCAGTGCTGGAGGCAGTTGGAGGGGGTTTAGTCCCGTGCAATCCTGCATCCCTCACATCCTTTGCGCTGCTCTACTTGGGAGTCTTGTGCAATCACGGCACTTGCGGGGGTGGTTTGTGTGCCCTGAACAAACAGAAGGGGTGGGGTTTATCTGCCAGGCCAAGTTTGATCACTTTTTGCACAAAACAACCCAAACCCCACGGCCCCCGATTTGTAGTTTATCCCATGAACAAATGGACAAACACCCCACAAACACTAACCACTTACGACTCTTCCTGGAGTGATCCTCCAAATACGTACGAGTATTAAGCAAACATGAACCCCCCCACTTTCCCAAACGCACACCACAGATCCACGACGATTCCACGACTAGGCTTCTAGGACTAGCTTATCATAGGCATTAATACTGACCTTCGATCGGCTTTCTCGCGCGGACTTGTTTCTAATTTAGGCATCTGCCAGAATCTGCAACATATTGTAGAGGCCCTTGGATTGGACACAGCTTCACTTGAAAGTTGAAGTTGTTTCACCTGTTCCCTTATTGTAGCTGAGTTTTCCTCGGCCAAGTAACAACCGCTTTTCAAAGATCTTGAGTTGCAGCATCACAATTGAATTACATTGCTATGCTGAGAGAAGTGGGATTCCTACAATGTAGTGCCCCCCATTTTATAAAGCTGGTTTATAACCCACATTAACCAGTTCGATATATCATGATGATATAGAACTTGCCTGGTTTAAAACTCACTTGGCGAACTATGGGGCAACACATTGTAGAAGTCGAAATTGCGCAGCCCCACGGATGCTCGGGTCAGAAAACATATGATTTGTGATGTGGGGATCCGGGGATCTTAGACCACACCAAACCATCATAGACCATTTAAAACTATACTAGAGCAACCGGCCACAAAGATAGACACGTATAAAATTATCACTAATATAGATTCGGAATTTCCCACCTTCAATCATCAACCATCTTAAACAATCCTTTGGGGCTGTGGTTATCTTCACTCGTATCGAGATATGTCCATTCGACACCGCCAAGTTGCTAAGATCGAGTCGGTGTCGTCGCCTCATGGCATGCCTCGGAGCGATGCTTGGGCCTGCCACAAGGGTAAAACCAATAAATGTAATACCCCAGGTAGAATATATGGAAGATCCCCAGCTATATGGCTTGTATATGGCTTGTATATGGCTTGTATATGGCTTGTATATCAGGTCATAAACCACTTCCTGAGTGGGATGCACGTCACACCGAACATTGATTGGTGCTGTGAACACAATCAACTGGGGCAGATTTGAGCCCTGAAAATCGCCCAGAAACTGCATAGTTCTCGCTAATGTTTACCCCCACAAAAATGATAAATTCCCTAAAAGTGCTGATCTGTAAACTGTGGACGATGTTTGACCAAATATCATCCCCTAAAAATGCCCTATCAATCGATTGATATCATCCAAAAATATGTTTTAACTGTTGATATGGCAGAGTTTCAATAAATATCCCTTATCATCTTTGAATATCCCCTATAAACAATCCAAAAATAAACTGTTGAAACTCTGCCATCTGTTGCGCACACCATCGATAGCCTGGAGCTTTGCGACGCGGCCAGCGGAATTCCTCACCTGCTTCTTTCAGTCAAAAGGGGGTGAAGGAAGGATCATCCCATATATTATGGAAAATAAAAATGTTTGAAACCACCAACCAGAAAACCTATGCTTATATCATCTTCTATCAGCATCCGGCGGGTATTCCGTCAACCTGTAGCAATCTTCTATCAATATCCGGTGGGTACCCTATCAACAGAATCATAATATCATATATCAAACACTGAACTTGCGTTCCTCATCAATCAAACCAAACTCATCACCCGTGGCCCGTGGCTGCTTCAAGACCATCCCAGTTACATGGGCTGTCTGGCTGACTGAACTCTCAACAATTGGATAGATGCACTCTTAGAATGCACTGCACAAACTCACCATGTATAGATGATGTTCGTATAAAGCCTCCATTTATAGGGGATGTCCAATTGACCGAAGGGTATCGATTATCTGCAACTGGATGTTCATAATCGATTAATCTGGGCTGGGTCAGGGCTTATCATATTCAATTGACCTGGGATAGTCAAGGGCTGTCACAATTGATTCATTTGGCTGGTCAGGGGTTTTTGATAGTTGATTTATCTGACTAGTCAGGGATTATCATACTTGATGAATCTGGGATATTGAGGGGACTATGACTATGACAATCGACTAATCTGGGATAGTCATGGATGTCTGATACTGTAATGGATTATGAAATCTGAGATAATAAGAAGTATAAGAAGTATTTGAGTGCTGATTTACCAGATGAATACTTCTTAATATATAATGGTATTGGACGTCCATGCCATCTAGTGGCTTCGTATCATCTCCAAGAGCTCGATCCTTGACACGCAATTTACGCGTCGTCACCATGTTGAGAACCAAGTTGAATGAAATCACAAATAAAAAAAACCTATGCCCCTACCATTAGCTGATTCGATGATATCATAATCATCAAATGGAATGATTTGGGATTGTTTCTGGCTAAGAGGAAGTCTACACCCGTGAAAAATGGCCACGTATTATAGTTAAAACCATCCTGAAATCAGAATCTATAGCCATTAATACATTACCTCCAGTCACGAACCCCAGTTCATGAACAGATCCAATACTAAACCCTGGGTGTTGTTTGGTGCGTATTGGAAAAAAGCAGGAAGGAACTAATGTAATCAAACTCTCCGAGCCTGGAACAGATCTGATGATCAAGCATGAGATGTTGGATGATTTTGGGGTGCCCTAGTTTAAGATCCAAAACAAGCAAAGAAGTGAGACTTGAAGTGAGTTTTCCCAAATTCAAAAGGAAAAAAACGAAACACTATATAGGTGCGTGTCTGTCTGTGTGTATGTGTGTGTGTGTCATAGTTTTTCCCAACAGTCCCTGTTGGGGTTCAAACTTTGGGTCCTTGCGTCGTTTGCCGAGCCTGGAACAGTCACATCTTGTGAATTTCAACCTGGGCGAGGCACACAGTGGAGTTGCTTGGAACAAAAAACTCAAAATAAGAGTCCTAGATGAGACTAAGATGAGTTAAAGATTGGAGAAATTAGATGTCTGGTGCCTAAGATTTTCGTACAGCAAACATCCGCGATTTTTTTTTTGCCATCGGAATCGCAACCCCAAAAACCCTGCCTAACAAGTCCCCTTGGGTTGATCGACCCCATTGATGAAGATGATGATCCTCCAAGTTTTTCCACCATAAAAGCCATAGAACACCCCATACTATCCGTGATTATCCTATATGTTCCCATATTCCCAAATCAACCTGGAGAGCCACACATAGAAAGGCACAACCACTTGGATCTACCTCGATGATCTAGATAGTGAGATGGAATTAGACGTGCAATGCCTTTAACCCAATAATAAACTCAGTCCATTCTTTTGGTGTCACTGTCACCTATTTCTGATGAAATTGGTTCAACTTAATCAGCTTTACCACATCTGAAAACACCATACGTGAACACGAATGAATTCGTTTCCTGACCCCACGCTGCACCAAGCTCACTTTCGCACAAAGTTCAGAAGTGTGTCTGGAACTCTAATCCAAAATGAGTTTCCTAAACTTGGTAACCTCGAAACCAATCAAAAAGATAAAAGTTCCAAGTACGACCAAGCTTGGATGATCTTGGAAACCTCTAGATATATAATCCTAGAAAATAGGAAAGACTCAAATAAACCAAAACATGTTTACTGTGTTTGTTGTCACTTTACAAAAGTTCCATGCAGATAAACTGTTCATCTGCCGACATGCAGCAGCACTCCCAAGAGTGCGCAACGGTCAGCGCTTTCAAAACTCCCACCCAGGAGACACATGGCTATGGGTCAAAATTGGATACCCCAGTAATTAGATGGTTCCTAACAATATAGGCTAAAATCTGTGGTCCCCTAGGTCTTAGATTTTGACCCATATCCACATGTTTAATAGTTTAACGGGGAAAATGTCTCCCGGGACTTGTGAACAGCACAAGGCTGCCTACACAAAAAAGGATTGCACATTTGGCGCGGGAACTTGCAACTCAAGCAACATGTATAGCCATTCGCAAATCGATAGAAAATTAAAATCCCACCAAAATCATGAAGAATGACTTTTGTATATTGGACATAGGGGTAACTATATGAACCAATCACAACTTGATGGCCACTTTTGTGCCTCAACTTGGGCTAAAGATAGTTGCTCCCGCTTCAGCTTAATATGACCTCCAAAGGGTCTCATTTTTTGACAAACCGTTGGGACCTTTGGGACCGTTGGGAGTTGGACCCGTGGACCCCACCCAGGGGCTGCAAATTGACTTAAATCTGAAGGATACCGGGAGTATCCATTTGGAGTCGCTTCTACTGATGAGGGACTCACCCAATGCAATCAACAACTCCTATATTGGGGATGGTTTGAATGCCACCCATGTCATGGTAATGCTGGGTATGGTTTTTTTGGGGTGAATCGCACATTCAGTACATCATTTCATTTCACATTTTGCCCAACCAAAGGTGCCAGATCTGTCCAGACTTAGTTGCCCATCGCTTCGCCCACGATGCCCATCAACCGCTCCACCAGGCGAGCACGAACCGTCTGGTTCAATTTGTCAAAGCCGATGGAATTCCTGGGTCCGACAGTTCTCGGGTGAGCGGACGTTGCTTTGTTCAGTTCATCCTCTGGAAATCGCTTTCAAAAAATAGTTTTGTCAATATGACCTCTCAAAAATGGCGGTTTCCTGCGTACAGCCTGGTTTAACCCTAAGCCTTGCCCAGCTTCAAGATGAGCCGTTTGATCAGATCCTCGTCCGCCGTAGACGTGGCTTTGGCACCCCGAACATCCAAGCCACCCAAACCGGCTCGCACTTCTTGCAAATAGTCATAGCTCAGAGCATGTTTGAAGTTTGCCTCAGCTAGGATTGGGTTAAACTTGAAATAACCAAAGGACTAACAACGAAAATCGACATTTCCAAATAGATGTGGTTTCTCCACAAACTTGGATTTGTGCGTTTCCTTGGCAGGTGAGTTGAAACATTCGATCTCGTCATCCGTTTGAGCGCGTCTAGCTAATTGCACTCTTCGCATGTGCGATTCATTGTCATTTTGCATAGAAGCAACACCTTGGGGTATTTTAACCAACTCTTGGATTTCACCATTGGTGGAATTCGAAGTTGAGAACAGCAAGAGTTCGCCCACTCCTCCGTAATTTGGTGTCTGCCGAATTGCCTCCGCTGATTCGGAAAGGATCATGGTCATGGAAAATTCCTGCTCAATGCAAACCTCAGCTCTAAGTCGTTAGCAACGGCCTTCTGTCAAAAAATGTTCCCAGCTACCATGAGAGTTAAATTACACCACCGTAGACCCCAAACAGTGGGTGGATTCAAGAAGTGTCTTGAGGAACAGGGTCAAACGGTCAAACACATGAAATAGCAGCTAGCAGTGACAGGAATCGTGAAAATGTCTGCAATAAGTGCTGGAGACCACTTCACGCTGATTTTTTTCGGCTTCGCTTGCTTTGTCGCAACGCTAGATGCCGACAAACGATGAAGAAAACTAAGGAAACATCAGATGGGGGCGCAAGTGTTTGGATCCAAACACTCCACTCAAGCGCATAGGACTGTCAAACTGGATGTGTTGAAAACATCGGCATCCAGAAGAGAGACAAGCTGGGAGACAAGCTGGGAGACAAGCGGGGAGACAAGCTGGAAGACAAGCTGGGAGACAGGCTGGGAGACACGCTGGGGAGACAAGCAAGGAGACAAGCTGGGAGACAAGCTGGGAGACAAGCTGGGAGACAAGCTGGGAAACAGCTGGGAGATAAGCTGGGAAACAAGCTGCAAGAAAAGCTGCAAGAAAAGCTGGAAGACAAGCTGGGAGACAAGCTGGGAGACAGGCTGGGAGACAAGCAGGGAGACAAGCTGGGAGACAGGCTGGGAGACAAGCGGGGAGACAAGCGGGGAGACAAGCTGGGAGACAAGCTGGGAGGGAAACAAGTTGGGGACAAGATGGGAAACAAGATGGGAGACAAGCTGGGGGACAAGCTGGGAAACAAGCTGGGAGACAAGCAGGGAGAAAAGTTCGAAGACAAGCTGGACAAGCTGGGGAGACAAGCTGGGAGACAAGCTGGGAGACAAGCGGGGAGACAAGCGGGGAGACAAGCTGGGAGACAAGCTCGGCTTTGGGAAGGTGGAGACACACCATCCAACAAAGGGGAATAAGAAGGAGGACAAGCTGGAAGAAAAGCTGGGAGACAAGGGAGACAAGGCCTCGAAAGGTGGACACACCAGCCAACAAAGGGAAACAAGAAGAAAGAGAAGGTGAGACAAGCTGGGAGACAAGATGGGAGACAAGCTGGGAGACAAGGGGAACAAGGCCTCGGGAAGGCGGACACACCATCCAACGAAGAGAAACAAGAAGGCAGACAAATGGGAAAGGCAGACACCCCATCCAACAAAGGGAATCAAAAAGGGACACAAGCTGGGAGACAAGCTGGGAGACAAGCTGGGAGACAAGCAGAGAAGCGGGGAGACAAGCTGGGAGACAAGCTTGAAGCCAAGCTGACAAGCTGGGAGACGAGGGGGAAGGCGGACACACCGTGCAATGAAGAGAAACAAGAAGGGAAGAAGGGAGACAAGTGGGAGACAAGGGGGAAGGCTGACACACCATCCAACAACGGGAAAGAAGAAGGGAGACAACTGGGAGACAAGACCTCGAAAAGGCGGACACACCATCAAACAAAGGGAAACAAGAAGGAAGACAAGCTGGGCACACCATCCAACAAAGGGAAATTAACCCAGCATACATCCCCAATAGCAAGCTTTTTTACATCTGTCGATGACAATTTGGTATTGACAGGTGAGCCATTTTGGTTTTAAAAATACATTTTTTTTCGATAATTACCACCAAACACCACAGAAACACCACGAAAACATGAGCAAGACTCAAAACATCACCGAACACCGTCAAGACTTACGGACACACCGCCCAAAGTGCCACCAAGACGCCTAGGACCACCGAAACACAATTGAGAGACCACCAAGACACCAGCAGGAGGACAAACACCATCAGGACAGACACCACCATGTCCCGGAAGGACCTGCAAAGGTTTTTTCCCAAAAATCTTGCTGCCAGCATGTTTTGTCATAATCATCTTTTCCCATCATCACAACACCGTCAGTACAAAAACCCACCATCATCAGCACACCATCATCATCATCATCACCATCATCACCATCATCATCATCGTCATCATCATCATCATCATCTTCTTCTTCACCATCATCACCATCATCATCATCATCGTCTTCATCATCATCAGCATCGTCTTCTTCTCCTTCGGCAACCATGCCCGTATCATCATCATCATCATCACCACCATCATCACCATCATCATCAATAATAGTAACCATCATCATCCTCATTATAACCTTCTTCTTTAACCTCCTCACTTTAGTACATCTACAACATGATGTTCTTCAATGCATCTACAATGTTTTATACACACAAGCGTAGATGCAGGTAACAATCTTACTGACAGGTGTTTAGATGCAGATGCATAGATGCAGGTTCAAGAATCTTCTTTAACACGGCTACCAAACGAATTTTTGCAGGTGCACCACGGAAGATGTGGAGATGCAGGTGGAGATCGATTTTTTTGAAGAAAACGCCGAGAAGTGCATACACACAGGTGTAAAGTGGCAGATGTAAAGATGCAGGCGGAGATCAATTTATTAAAGACTACAATCTTGTTTTTTCTACATGTTCTCGTAGAGCGCCAGGGCAGCATGGATTGATGTCCATGAAACGCAACCCTCTTGCACGACATGTCCATCGTCATACACTGAGGTCAAATTGCAATGCGGGTTTGTGCTGGCCAGCCCTTTCCCACGACGTGCATTTCGAAAAACTGTGATTTTGCATATGCTTGCTGAACTCTTTCGCGCCATATGCATGTCCGCCGTCAAAATTCAGGAAGAAGTATGTCTGTGCAAAATTGCCCATAGGTAAAAGCTCATCGTGCAAATGCATTCCTTTGTAAAAGCGCCTCTGTTTGTTTTGGCATCTGTGTGTAAATTTGCTCAATGTAAAACCAGCTCTCTGTAAAAGTATTTGTATGTAAAAAGTCATTTCTGTGTGTGAAAGCATCCCTGTGCAAATGCATCTCTGTGTGAAGGTGTCTCTGTGTAAAAATTCTTTGTGTAAAAGCATGCGTGATTAAAAGCATCCCTGTGATACACAGCATGCGTGCATGTAAAAGAAAACGCGCGCAAAATAAACATCGCCGTGTAAGAGTATTTTCATGTAAACGCGCATGCCACTGTGTCAAAGTGTCTCTGTGTAAAAGTGCTGGCGTGTAAAGGAATCCCTGCGTAAAAGAATGTGTGCAAAAGCATCTCTGTGTTGAAAGTATCTCTGTGTAAGAGCGCCTGTAAGTAGAAGCATCCCTTTGTAAAATCATCTCTCTGCGTAAAACCATCTCTGTGTGAAGGCCCCCCCCCCATGTGTAGAAGCACTTCCTCCCCGAATCGTGCTTCCAGCCTCTTGCCTAGATGCGTCCTAGTCTCAAAGCACCTGTGTGTAAAAGCATCTCTCCGCGAAAGTATTCGTGCAAAAATATCTCTCTGTAAAAGTATCTGTATGTAAAAATCGTTTTTTGTACAAATGTATTTCTGTGTAAAAGCATCTCTGCGGAAGAGTATTTACTGTAAAAGCTTCTGCGTGTAAAGGTTTTTTTGTGTCACAAGAAGCCCTGTGTAAAAGCGTGTGAAAGCATTCCTCTGTAGCAGCATCGCTGTGTGAAGGCATCTACGTGTAGAAGTACTCGCGCGTCTGTGTGCATTTTTTGTGTAAAAGCATCCCTGTGTAAAAACACTTGTGCGTGAAGATATTAGCGTGTAAAACCATTTGTGGGGACATGCATGTGTATGTGTAAACGTCTGCGTAAAAAACCTGTCTTTGTGAAAGCACCTCTGTGTCAAAGTATCTGTGTACAATATTTTGGCCGTTAGCTGTTAGAAACTCTAATAAGCTGCATAGTATTTGCCGCAAAACTGCTCGGTATTTGCAGCATTTTGCAGCTAGCACCTGTACACTGCCTGGTATGATGCAACATCAGTTCATTGCACAGAGCTTTGCCATCGGATAATATTTCGCAGCAGTGCGAAGCTAACATCGGCAAATTGCATGATATTTGCAAGATTTGGAATCATATCTGACAACTGCGTTGTGATTTGACAGCGCTCTGAAGCAAAAAATCTGTACACTGTAGAATGCTTGCAGCATTTAGAAACCAAAAACTATTACTCGCACAGTATGTGCGGCATACTGGGGCAAACTTTAGTGCATCGGATAGTCTTTGCATTTTTTTGCAACTATCACTAGTAAACTGCATGGCACGCGATGGACGGTACTCGCAACATATTGAAATTATCATCCGCACATTGCACATAGTGGCATGGTGTTTGCAGCGTGTTGCGGCTAAAATCTGAAAACTGCACGGTCCTTGCCACCTTTTGAAACCAACATGCACGCAGCATTTTGGAGCTAGGCTTTCCTTCCCTCCCTCCCTCCTTCTTTCCCTTCCTCCTGTAGAGATTATCTCCTTCTTTCCTGTTGGTGCTTTATTCTAGCACCTTTTTCCTTTGATAAATTCGCGCGAAGGTTTCTGTGCAAGCGTAGCAGCTACAGTGTAGCATGCAGCAGGTATGTCAACTCCTCTGGTGAGGTGAGCAGCCCACTGCCCTGGTTGCTGCGTGGCATGAGGGAATGTTCGCAGTTGCTTCGGTAGAAGCATCATACGTAATAATTAAGTATGTTACTTACTAACATGGGTCAACATCCATCCCTCCCCCCGCTTCAGCCCAAACCTGCAAACGGGGTCGCTGTCATCGCTACCACCGTCGTCATCGTCATCGGCATCGATATCAATATCATCATCATCATCATCACCATCATCATCATCATCATCATCAATGCCACCAACTCCATCATCATTACCATCATCCTCTTCCTCATTATCACCGTCATCTTCAGCAATCATTCTGGTCAGAATGACGGCAGCATGCAACCGTTGAAGACTACCTGCAGCATGGCGCGACTCAAGATTTTATTGACGCACAGGGAAAAACCACAGAGACACAACCAAGGACCACCAACACAACCGGCGCCAGGCTCACTTGGACATTTCACTTTGGCTCACTTGAAGCTTTTGGCTCACTTAGAGCTTTGTAGGCTCACCTGAACATCAGGCTGCGGCTCACTTGAACATTAGACACTTAGAGGCACCCTGGCTCTACTCGCTCTACCACCTCCACGGGCTCTACGGGCTCTACGGGCTCTAGGGGCTCTACGGGCTCTACGGGCTCCACGGGCTCTACGGGCTCCACGGGTTCCACGGGCTCTACGGGCTCCACGGGCTCCAGGGGCTCCACGGGCTCTACGGGCTCTACGGGCTCCACGTGCCCTACGGGCTCTACGGGCTCCACTGGATCCACGGGCTCCACGGGCTCCACGGGCTTCACGGGCTCTACGGGCTCTACGGGCTCTACGGGCTCTACGGGCTCTACGGGCCTTACGGGCCTTACCGGCCTTACCGGCCTTACGGGCCTTACAGTTACAGAATGATGGAAAGAATACATGGTATACATTACATGCATTACATGCATTACATGCAATACATACATACCATACCATACCATTACATTACATTACATTACATGACATAACATAACATAACATAACTAACATACATTACATTACATTACATTACATTAAGTACATTACATTGCATTACATTAATTACATTACATTACATTACATTACATTCCATTCCATTCCATTCCATTCCATTACATACATACATACATACACAGATACATAGATACATAAATACAGAGATACATACATACATACATACATAGACACATACATGCATACATACATATATACATACATACATACGTACATACATACATTACATACATACATACATACATACATACATACATACATACGTACATACATACATACATACATACATTACATACATACATACATACATACATACATAAATACATACATAATACATACATACATACATACATACATACATACATACATACATACATACATACATACATGACATACATGACATACATTACATACATAACATACATTACATACATTACATACATTACATACATTACATACATTACATACATTACATACACAACATACATTACATACATTACATACATAACATACATAACATACATAACATACATAACATACATAACATACATAACATACATAACATACATAACATACATAACATACTTAACATACATAACATACATAACATACATAACACACATAACATACATAACATACATAACATACATAACATACATAACATACATAACATACATAACATACATAACATACATAACATACATACACGTACATACACATACATACACATACATACACATACATACACATACATACACATACATCATACAGACATGCATACAGACATACATACAGACATACATACATACATTCAGACACACATACACACATACACAAATACATACATACATACACACATACATACATACATACGTACGTACGTACGTACATACATACATACATAGACACATACATACATACATACATACGTACGCACGTACGTACATACATACATACATACATGCATGCATACATTCATTACATACATAGCTACATAAATTATATACGTATCCGTATGTTGTCGCTACGCTCTTGGATTTCCAACTTAACTTCCGTCTATGTTTGTTGTTGCTACGCTCTTCACTTTCTAACATGACTTCTATTTTTCCAGCTCGGTCTGGGCACGCACGGACCCGAACAGGTGCCACTAAGCATGTCAGATGGGATGTTAGAAAAGATGCCAGAAAGAATGCCGGATAGAATGTATATAGACTTATTTGTTAGATAGACTGCCATAATGAATATCGGATAGAATTTTCATAGAATGTCTGAATACATGTAAGAAAATGCCAGAT